GCCCAGACACCCCAGTTCTCCACTCACCAGTGTACCCACCCCCCTTCAGGTGGGCGAGAGCTGGATGGACGATGCCAACTGCACCCAGCGGTGCACGTGCCGCAGCCCGGAGGACATTGCCTGTGAGGCCTGGAGCTGCCTCCCCGGGCAGGAGTGCAGTGAGCGCGGCGGGGGGCTGGGCTGCCATGACACACGTGAGTCTCCTCCCCAAAGCTGGGCACAGCCGGGCCCCATTATACCCATCCTGGCCCCTAGAGCTGGGTGCATCCGGGCCCCGTTACACCCACCCTAGCCCCTGCAGAGCTGGGTGCATCCAAGCCCCTTTACGCCCAGTTGGAGCCCCCCAGAGCTGTGCACACCCAGGCCCTGTTCGATCCATCCCAGGCTCCCAGAACTGGGTGCATTGCAGCCCCATTACACACAACCCTGCCCTCTCAGTGCTGGGCATACCCAGGCGCTGTTACCCCCAGTCCAGCCCCTTAGACCTGAGCACATCCAGGCCCCATTACACCCTGCCCAGCCCAGCCCAACCCAGCCCCCCAGAACTGGGCACATCTGGGCTTGTTCTACCCAGCCCAATCCCACAGTGCTGGGCGCATCCAGACCCTGTTAAACCCAGCCCAGCCCCTCAGGGCTGAGTACCCCACCAGACCCTGCCCCACCCCACTGGGCCGCCCCCAGAGCCAGCCACCCCTTCCGCAGGTGCGGCCACATGCTACGTGTTCGGCGACCCACACTACGTGACTTTCGATGGGGCATCAGTGACCTTGACAGGCACCTGCTCTTACACGCTTGCCCGCGTGTGTGGCACCCACCCAGGCCTGGAGGACTTCACTGTCGTGGGCACCAATGCACCCAGTGCCACCCCCGGCTCCTCCTTCCTGGTGCGGGTGGATGTGACGGTGGGCGGCGCCTGCGTGACCCTACTGCGTGGGCACCGGGTCCTGGTGAGCAGCCTGAATGCCTGGGTCTTGTTGGAGGACCTCCAGGCCTCTGTTCCCCCCACCCCACAGGAATGGGTGGCAGTGAGGGTGACCCCTGACCCTTGACCCTGGCAGGTGGATGGGGTCAGGGTGAGCCCACCACTGCGGGACAGGCTGCGGGGACTGGCGGTGACGGAGGCCGGCACCTTCGTGGAGGTGCGCAGCCAGGGAGGCCTGGTGCTGCGCTACGATGGGCGCCACCTGCTGGAGCTCCGTGTGCCCGGGGCCTACTACAGCCAGGTGACCCCTGACCCCTTAGCCAACCTCCCACTCCCATTTCCTCCCTGTGGGTTGTGCTCCTGGGAGGCCAGGCCTGAGCTCCCTGGAGACCACACCTACTTGGAGTGTGACCACTGACCCTGAAGATGTGACCCATGACCCCTGTGGGGTCCTGTGCCTTATGATCCCTGCTTGGCTTTACCCAGGCTGGCTCTGCTCCCTTGACCCCTTCCTATATGTGGTCCCTGCCCTTTAAGCTTTGACCTTTGACCCCTCTGGTGGCCTTTGACCCATGATTTTTAGGGCTGGCTCTTGCTGGGCTTTGACCCCTGACTTGTGGTCCTTGACCTCTGCGTGTCTCTAATACTTACCCCCCTTGACCATTGGTGTCTGTTCCCCCTGCTGGGCTGTGAGATATGAC